GTGGCCATGGGGATTTGAACCCACGACCTTAGGCCTCACGTGTAGTTGCCATGGAGACTCTACCCCAAAGTCAATTATGACTAAAGGGCACAATCCCCACTCGTATTCACTTTACCAGATTTTACTAAAGCGCATTTGTCCCTAGAAGATTGATTACGGACAATGTATTAATAGCCTATGAAATGTCACACTATATGCAGCATAAAAGAAGAGGGGCTGTGGGCTATGCAGCTCTGAAGCTTGATATGAGCAAGGCCTACGACCATGTTGAATGGAGCTTTTTACAATAGATGATGGACAAGCTGGGATTCCATGAAAGATGGTCCAAACTGATTATGCAGTGCATATCAACTGTGTCATATCGGATCAAAGTGATTGGGGAACTTACAGATGAAATAATCCCTTCATGGGGGTTACGTCAAGGAGACCCACTTTCTCCCTACCTCTTTTTGTTATGTGCTGAAGGTTTTTCTACCTTGCTAAATGCTGCAGAAAGTAATGGTGTTTTGGAGGGAGTGCCGGTTTGTAACAATGCACCGAGCATCACTCATCTTTTGCTCGCTAATGATTCATTGCTTCTCTTAAAAGTTAATGATGAGAGCACAAATCATTTGCGGCATGTGCTACAACTTTATGAGGAGTGTTCAGGGCAAACCATCAACAAGGATAAATCATCAATTATGTTTAGCAGAAACACCGAAACTGCAGCAAAAGAAAGTTTCATGGAAATTCTTGACATATCCACCGAAGCTAGCTGTGAGCGCTATCTTGGCTTGCCGGTTTATGTTGGCATCTCCAAGAGGAAAACTTTTGAGTATCTCAAGGATCGGGTGTGGAAAAGGATCCAAGGCTAGAAGGAGAAGCTCCTCTCCAAAGCCAGCAAGGAAATATTGATCAAAGCCATTGCACAAGCAATTCTAACTTATGTTATGTCATGCTTTGATCTTACCAAGATGTTGTGTGATTACATTGGCAAAATGATTAACAGGTTTTGGTGGGCTCATCAAGATAAAGAGAATAAAATTCATTGGCTCTCCTGGGACACACTATGCAGCCGAAGGGATAAAGGGGGTCTGGGTTATCGTGATCTCCATCTCTTCAACTTGGCAATGCTGGCAAGCTTGGAGGATAGTAATGAACCCAGATTCACTATGTGCAAGGTTGTTGATGGCCAAATATTGCCCAGATGGTGACCTTATGAAGGTAAGAGAGGGACCGGGCACTTCTTATTCATGGTGAAGCATTGTACGTGGGATTCAAGCGCTGAAAGAAAGCATCATATGGCGTATGGGCAATGGATAATCGATCAAAATATGGGAAGACCCATGAATTCCGAGGGGAACACCATGCCGACCAATTATTCCTAAGGGTGCAGTAATTCTCTCAAAAGTTTCAAAGCTCATTGATCCAAGTACTGGCTCGTGGGATGTCCAGCTGTCGAGGGATATTTTTTGGGAGGATGACGTGAAGGATATCATGGCGATACCGGTGAGATCTGGACATGAAGATTTTGTTGCATGGCATTATGATGCAAAAGGAGTGCTTTCGGTGAAGTCAGCCTATCATGTCCTTGATGATAAGAAGGAATTCTCAGCAGTTCGCCAGCGTGGGGAATCATCCGGATCAAGAGAAGTGACCTCGGGACAATTCAAGTGGAAAAAAATCTAGAAGCTACCAGTTTAACCAAAAGTTAGGCAATTTGTTTGGAGATTATTGCATAATAGTCTGCCGGTGAAGAAGAATATTCAGAGAAGGTTGGGTCTGATTGACACTCTATGACCAGTTTGCAAACGTTTTGACGAAGACGGGGGACATTGTTTTCTCAAATGCAAACCTGTGCGAAGATGCTGGCTAGAGTTGGGCCTTAGTTATCTCAGGGAGGAATTAATTGAGTTACGATCGTCACGTGAAGTGGTAATCAAGATCCTTTCCCTAGAGGAAAAGACATGCATAATGGTGCTAAACCTGCTCTGGAAGTGGTGGAGTGCACGCAACGCAGTCAATGCGGGAAAAAAGCAGCTGGCAAATTCTGAAATCATATATGCAGGTCGGCAACTAACAAAGGAGTGGAAGAGAACAAGCCAGTTCAGTGACTGTAGCATCAAGGAGACACCACCACCACAAGAATTCCTAAAAATAAACGTGGATGGAGCTTTTAATCATGCAACGAAGTTGGGGGCTTGGGGCTTTGTGGTGCGTGATGCTGCTGGAGAGGCAGTCCTGGCAGGTGCTGGTAAGGCTGCAAACATATATGATGCTCTAATGGCTAAAACTACTGATTGCTAGACGGCAATCGATACTGCAGCTTCTGTTGGCATTTCAAAACTGCAAATAGAGACTGATTCCCTGCTACTTCAAAGAGGTGTGCTCACTGATGAGATGGACCAAGTGCGAGCTGGTGTTATTTTTCAAGACATCCGTAGAGTGATTAGAGAACACTTTTTATGTTTTGAGTGTTTACATGTTCCTCGTCTTTGTAACTCGTCTGCGCACGAGATAGCCGCTTTAAGCATGTGTTGGGATGTAGGGATGTCGGAGGTCTGGGAGTATCCCGTCCCAAACTTTGTACAAAACTTGGTGGCTCGCGATCTTGTTGAGCTTTCTGTTAATTAAAGGCCTAATGAGGCGAGGTTTAAAAAAAAGAGTATTTAGGACCCTAAACAAGTTCAAATGAAAAAAGGTTTCAAATGCAAAGTTACAAATGTCATCGAGCTCTACAACTTTGAATTTAGTTGTTTCTCCATCCGAGATCGTTTTAAAATTTTGAATTTCAAATACGAGAAATTCAAACATAACTTTACTTAGATAAATTATTTCAAATAAAAATGTTGTCAACTACAAAGTTGTATAGTTCTACAAGATCTACAACTTTGGTTTTTGTCTTTTTTACATCCGATGTCGTTTAAAAATTTTGGATTTCAGTATGTGAGGACTTCAAACTAATTTTTAGGGCCATAGATTATTTTAAATTAAAAAGTTTCTCAACTGCAATGTATTATATCTTTTCGAGGTTTATAACTTTAGTTTTGGTCGTTTCTCCATCCAGATCGTTTGAAAAACTAAAAAATAAATTTTAAAATGTGAGAAATTCAAACAGAATTTGTGGGGTTTCATTAAATGATTTCAAATGAAAAAGTTGTCAACTATAAAATTATAGCATATCTCTTCGAGTTATACAGCTTTGTTATAAAGTTTGACTTCATCTGATTTCTTTTGGGAAAAATAAGAATTTTACCATGCCCAATTTATAGCCTAATTAATCTAGTCGTTCCTGAAATCGCACCACCCGTGCTATCCATTACATGCAGAATTGGATGTTTCATGTGACACATACATAATACAACACAAGTTCATAATTCTTCTAGAAAAGTAGTTTAGGGTTACAACACAAGTCACAACAAGTTCAAACATAGCATAAGTCTACTATTTATAATAGTTTCGAAGTACATTTTGCGGACCAGCGACACCCACAAGCTTTGAGGCTCAGAAGTACCCGTAGACCGGCAAGATAGGCCTAACTTTGTTGCCATACTGGTTCTGTGGCACAGGTCGACGTTGGGCGCCATGGTGGCACCCCTACCGTGCCACGTTATTTTGCCATGCCAATGGCAATGCTCTGCCTCTGACACGACTAATAAAAAGGTTAAATCTACATATACTGAAGGATGGTTATTTTTGAAATATATATTGATTAAAAAAGCTAAAAAAATTAAAAATATCTATACAGCACCTCTGCAGTGTCCTCGGTTCACCATTAAAGCCTATAATACATAGGCTATAGATATAGTCCTAATAAGAACCAGATTCGTGCTAACAGTATTCAATCTAGGATGGGCAATCAATTGATTGTGCTCGTGGAAACTGCGATCGATCGAATATATGGGGATCATATCGAAGGAACACGTCCAAGAGACTGACAGGCATCTCTCTGTCACGTGTGCTTGGCCCACAATCTTGAGCTGTATTATTAATTAGTAGGAAGCTTCTTGTGAACTTGGCGTGCATGCATACTTGTACAGTTTATAGACACTCGTGCAAACGAAGCGTGAACCTTTTTTTCGACCGATCGTAACAACATTCCATGTGCTTCAGGTTTCCTGTGCAGACGTGATGCAAACTCGTCCCTCGTTAGGCCCAGCTCGGATGGAGGAGCTGTTGCCATTGGATATCCGATACCCAGACTCAGACCCATGTTGTTTGGGAGGGTATAGATTGTCCATTTATTTATGGGTATGGATAGAATATACTCCTAATACTAATCCACGCCCAATAGACATTACCATGTGTCTACTTCCCCAGTGGCATCGACAGATGGAGACCACCTGTCCGCTTTGATCCACACGTAGCAGAGACATTCCTCTCCGAGGTAAAAACAGGCTAACAAATACCACGGTTTACAAACCAGACGTTAAAACCAACCAATTCGTACAAACAAGAAATCTTAAGTCAGCACAACAGAATAAAATATCCGAAGATCAGGGGATGACCAGGGAGTGGTTTCAGATGATTCAGTTAAGGGTTCCAAATCTCGTTACAACGTGCCGTGTTCCCAGTTTATATATATAGAATATACATACATGTTGCTCAAGTCATAGTTGCTGTTCCAAGGGATATACATATTATATATTATAAGATGATGAGATAAACGAAAGATTTTGGGCTAGAGCTACGGAACCCATCAACTTTCCCATACGAATCCCCCGCAACGGTGCATCTTATTCGTGATAATAACGGAGCTCTGAACCCTATTACAATCAGAATTATCTCCTCTCATTTCAGAGATGGACAGAAAAATATCAAGTGAATGACTGAGCTTGCCAATTCCTATCTTTGCATTTATTGGGACTTTTCTACGTCAGCTGCAGCCTTTATTCACAATTGATGGGAAGTCAAAAAATAATCCGAGACCTCATTCCACCTATGGCAGAAAATCCTGAGAAGGTTGCCCAAGATCTATCTTCGTGACAGAAAGGGGGACTAATGCTCTCAACCGTGTCGCATTACGATGCTTGCATGCCAGCAGCTGCAGAAGCCGGGGATCGGATAAGCGTGTGGGGAGCATAAACCTTTGATATAGACCCGACAGGTCCATATGTAGTTCCAGGCGCTGGTGGTGGATTAGCAGAGGAATCCTTGACTAGAGTGTATTGTGGACGCAGATCAGAGGATGGCAGATATGGAGGCATAGGAGTAACAGGGAAACTGTGAGGATATGGAGCGACTGGCACATCAGTAAGTGATGACGCTGAAATGCTATAGTTTGGAGTACCCATCGGGTGATCAAACTTGCATGTCGGCCCAAACTTGCAAAACCCATGGTGTGCATAGTAGGCACATGGCTGCGAACCCTGCACATCAAGAGAAGCTTCAGATGAAGATGTACTGAAAACTGAAAAAGCACAAACAAGAACTAAAAAAGTGCAAAAAGGAACTCAAAAAGAAAAAAAAAAGGGCAACAGATGATGTCAATCTCAACCTTGTGTGTTTACATTAATGTTCACAAAACTGCTATCATGCTTCATTATTATAAAAAGAAACTATGTCAGCAAAGACTGATATGCTTCGTATCAGTTGCAGTGGAACATTAAAATCTGTCTGTGTCAAGCTAAATTCAGAAAAAAAAGTCAAACGCAAGAAAACAAGGATGGGGGCATGACAATATTCATAGCTGCTGCAAGGTTCAACTTCACAAATAAAAGAAACTAAATCGAAGACAGATCCATGTCACGACAAATGAAGTTGGTCACAGGTCAGATCTTCAATAACCTTCTCCCTCCCAGCCTCTTTTGTGATTTCATAATGGAAAGAATCTTTTATCCAACTTCTATCATAAGGATGGCTGCCTCAGGCATATGGATAGAAAACTGTTTTATACAGCCATATGGATAGAGAAGTGTTTTATATCAACAAAAAGGTGTAGTAGACATTTGCTAGGATGTAAATTGTACTATTTGACACATGTTTCTTGCTCCAGTTAAATTCTACAGTTTGCCTTCCACTACTTAGCTTTTCCAACATCATGGTACAGAACTGGAGGGTTGTTGAACTCTTTAATGTGCAAAGCAAAGGTAGCCATCAATTTTTAACTCATTCAACAATACAAATCTTTGATACCAAGTACAGGGGTACCACTTTTTAAGTATAAAAAGCTGTAGACTTGGAAATGAAAATACAGTTCAGACATAACCAAAATCTCATTCCTAGCAAGTCTTGATTTATGGACTCGGAAATGAAACAGCCTAGTTGACGACTACGGCCAGTGCTCCGAATGAACAATGAAGAAATTACATGGACAAACTTAGGTCATAAAACTAAGGTATTGAGTGGACAACTGTTGAAGCTGCAGTAGTTCATCTGTTTTGTCCAAAATCGACATATTTAGAATGCAGCTGGTTTCCATAATTCCATCAGAATCTTACCTAAATGCCACAATCTAAAGTTGTATGGCATGAATTCTGGATATTCTAGACATTCTAAAAGATGAATGTGTTAGTGATCAGAAGGCCTCAATAATGGTGCAATTAGGGCAAACAAAATGCATGTGTAATTGGTCAAAAAAGATCACCTTGCATGCAAATTAAATGTAAATTATCAATTAAATTGTATCAGGCAATAAAATGCACACTGGTAATCAAAGGATGAAAACATGCATGAGATCTACTCACAGGACGCAGGGGAAGACCCAGAGGGCTCAGTATGCAGTTAGACTTTGGTGCACTGAAGTATTGAGGATGATGATATTTGCAGGTTGCTCCATATTTACAGGTTCCGGTCTTCATGTAATGTTCGCATTCAGGCTGCCCAGGCCGCTCTGGAAAGGCATATTCTTGTATGTTGCTGCTTGATGTCCCAGATGAAGAATACAATTGCGCATAGTGACTGCCATAAGTCACGGCAGAGGTAGGCCCCTGGTGCGACAAGCCATAAGATGCCCCTGCTGGAACAGCTTGCTGTCCCCCAGCTGGTGTAACTTGGTTCATAGGTGTCTGAGAACCAAATAGAGTAAAAAAAATCATTAGGCAGTCAGCGGTGTCTTATAACCATGACTACGGCTGCATTTTCAAGACATGAAGGAATTACTAACTCGCATCCAATTATTTGCAGACTTATAAAATCTCCATTTTTAGGCCATTGCCTCTATTTTGTCGTGAACTCGTGATAGACAAAAAAAAATGTTACATAAAGGACATCCTGAACTTATATCTGAATTCTCATTATTTAGCTCAATATTGGACAAGCCAATTTGGAACGAAGATATCTTCCAAATTTAATGGAGTGTCTTCTTTAAAGTAATAAAGTACAAAATGACAAGTAAAAGGAAACTTACAACATAAGGGTTCCATCCCTGCATTGGCATAACTGTAGGTGGAAGCATCATTGGTGGATACGAGCCTGGTAAAAATGACCCTGGCACAACAGGAGGCCTCCCCATTTGCCAATTGGCAAGATGTGGAAATGGATGTGAGGAGGAAATAGGTGATGGCTGAACTAGTGGGTACATGCCAGGCGTCTCCGTAAGAAAACCAAGTTCTGGGTGATGGAATTTACATGTAGGTCCAAACTTGCAATGTCCAGTTTTCATGTAATAGGAACATTCCTTTTCACCCTGCATTAACCATGGAAATTTTCATAAAATAAACAAACGAGATCCTAGATTAAACAGAAACGTGTGGATTGAAATGGGAACACCCACCAGACGTAGAGGGAATCCACTGCTGTTTAATGTGACAGGTACAAAACCACCTTCCCTGGGATGATCAAACTTGCAATTTGAACCAAATTTACAGGTGCCATTCTTTGCATAGTACTGAAAATAACAAGAACGTCCGTAACCAGAGCTTCCACCACATGACAATAAAAAATAATATATTTTGACCTAAAATATCAATCAGAAATAGCTTTAGAATTGGTTTAATTACCTCACAGAGTGGCTGTCCAGGACGCTCTGGGTACTCCACCATACCTGCGGTCTTTCCAACTCCATTAACCTGAAAAACACAGCAGAATTTCACAGATACATGCTTAAATCAAAAGCAGGCTAAAATATTTTCAGAATATCCAACAAGTCTGTACATTCGACTCCAATCACACATTCATTCTGGCATGACGTATAAGGTTCTAGCTCCTATAGGTACTAGTACATGTTTATTGAAGGTTCTAGCTCCTACCAGAGACTCCAATCTCCCACTCGTTGTAGACATATGAAGACTGGTTATTATCTACTCCCTCCATTCCAAATTATAAGACATTTTGGCTTTTTTTAGATACATTAATTTTACTATGTATCTAGACATAGTGTATATCTATGTGGATAGCAAAAGCTATGAATCTAAAAAAACCTAAGTCTTATCATTTGGAATGGAGGTAGTACTAAAGACGCAAGACATAAGAAAAGGACATGCAAATATGCAATACAATCCTAATTGGAGTAGAACTGCAGAGCCAGAGCAGCCTACAATGCAAGCTAGTAATTAACGCCTAAACAGTGGCAGTATTCACTATTCAGAGCAAAGATGGGAAGTCTGAATTCCCCCTCATCAAGCACAAGACACGAAATTTTCATAACTTCCACACTACCATGCCGTTATATAATCATCAATTCGGCGAAAACCTTCAACTTTAAGCAACAAACTCGTCACCCACCCACCATCTGTTATTGTCGGTCATTGTCAGGATAGCAGAACCATCGAGCTGAGAACGAGACCAAAAAAGAAAAAAAAAAAAACAGAACAAAACAGAGCAGAGCAGGGGTAAGAGAGAGCGGCGTGGATGAGGCTGGCGCTCACCGGGGCCGGCCGATCGCGAGGGTGGTTGTAGCGGCAGCGCTCCCCGTAGCCGCAGGCGCCTGTTCGGAGGTAGTAGGCGCAGTCCGCCTCGCCCGGCCGCTCGGGAAGCTTCTCCTCCCCCGCTTCCCCGTCCTCGCCGAGCCCCAGCCTCCGCATCGATTCTGCGAAAGCACCCACGTCAACACCACGCACCGGGTCCAAGCAGTCGCATCGGAGATCCAAAACCCTAGCGAGTGAGCGGGCAAAAGCAAAGCCGCGAAACCCCCACGGACGCAGCGGAACCCCAATTGCGCGGACGAGGTCGGGCCGGTACCTTCCAGGCCGGTGCCGGCTTCGGCCCCGCCGCCCTTCGCCGCCGCGTACGGCTCCATCCGGAAGCTCCCGGAGAGCGGCGATCGGGCGCCTGCCTCGGCGACCGGGCTCGATCGAAGCTCAGGCGAGCGAGCGAGCGAGCGAGCGAGCACCGGAACCTCACGGAGCCAGCCAAAGGGAAGGAAAAATTATTCCAGAATTTTTTCCCTGCGCTGCTGCTGCAGTGCTGCTCGCGGTTCCCTCCGGGCGACTCCTCTTCGCTCTGCCTGCACTCGCGGCTCGCCCTCCGTACGCAGTAGCGTCGCGGTGGCCTTTTGCGGGGAGAGGGATGGGGGTGGGGGATCGAGTGGTGTGGTGGTGGGGTTTTCCGTTCGGCGCTGGCTGGAGCCGGCCCCGCCCCGTGCGCCCGGGAGGCAGCGAGCGAAACGGGCGGGCGGACGCGGGACGCGTGTGGATTCGCTCGGGCAACCGCAACCGCGCGGCGCGGCGCTGTTACGGGGACGAGTACGGCGCTGTTAGGCCTGTCCCTGTTGCTGCTCGCTCGCTCGCTCTCGGTCGCTCAGCCGTGGGCTGCAGTAGCAGAGGCGCGGCGCCAATCGACAATGGGAAACGGAAAGGGTAAGGGGCAGCCGCGTGTCGCAATAAATGCGCGGTCGCCGTGGTGGGCCCGCTGCGGGACAGACGGTCGTTCATGCTTTCCTCCGAGTCCTGACCGTGGCAGACAGCGACGTCACGCGCCGCTGCCACAGTCGTAGACTGGGCGGGCTCCTCGCATCTTAGGACTAGGACTCTAGGAGCATCTCTGTTCCTGAATCCCCGCTATATTTTCGTGACCGGTGCCAATTTTTGTTGGAGTTTTAGATTGACTATCAACGAATTATCTTAATTTATTTATTAGATTCTCCATAAAATATATTTTGAAAATATATTCATTTAGGCTTGTAGCCATTAGTCATTGCTAAAAAAATATTTATTAGAACACAAAAAAGAGTGAATCATTTTACTTTCTAATCATTTTTTATCTCTTTCTCCTAAACTTTAAATGGTAAATAGCCGCTCACTTGCCATTTAGCTATTATTCAAACTAAATGGGCACTTAAATGGACAAAACAGTTATTCAAACAAGATATATTGACAATTCAGCAAAAACGGCTATAGCGTTTAAACAATAATATGTAAATAGGATAAATAATCGTTAGGCAAACAATTATATCAACATATATTTTAATAAAACTTAGTCAGAATTATAGTAGCTTGATTTAGGACAAACCAAAGTGAACTATAACTTAGAATGGGTACCATTAGAGCATCTCCAAGAGCTCCCCTATCCAACTTAAGTTAAAATTAAGGTTTATATAACAAAAATCATGTCCCCACTATCCCCCTATCCAACATCATATAATTAGTGCTAGCCTAATTCTTCCTTCATCTCCAATTTGGATTGAAATAACATGTTATCCATCCTACACAAAGTTATTAAGGCGGTAAGGCAAGGTGCGGCGAGCTACCCCTTCCAGACGCCTAGGCGTTTAAGGCGCGTGACGAGCGATGCCATACACATATTTTAATATACAATGCCACTAGAACTTAGAAGCAAATCATACAAGATAATACCATAATAAATAGTGCTGCACAACATAAAATATCAAAATAGCAAATCAAAAATCTCTTGTCGGGGACCAATATCAGGGTACCCGAAGAAGAGGAGCTAATAACCATTAACATTGATTCGTCCGACCAGTCAAGAGCGCGACTACAGCTCCAACCGACCCCAGGTGCACAAACTTCGCCTCGCCTAACCCCTGAGGGTGGCTCCGCCTCGCCCGACACCGAGGTCGTGGGCTCCGCCTCGCCCGACACCGAGGTCGCGGGCTCCGCCTTGCCCGACCCCTGAGGGTGGCTCCGCCTTGCCCGACCCCTGAGGGTGGCTCCGCCTCGCCCGACACCGAGTCCTGCAGGCTCCGCCTTGCCTGACCCCTGAGGGTGGCTCCGCCTTGCCCGACACCTGAGGGTGGCTCCGCCTCGCCCGACACCGAGTCCGCAGGCTCCACCTTACCCGACCCCTGAGGGTGGCTCCGCCTCGCACAACACCGAGGCCACGGGCTCCGCCTCGCCCGACCTCTAAAGGCTGGCTCCGCCTCGCTCGACCCTTGGGTTTGGGCTCCGCCTCGCCCGACCCTTGTGTTTGGGCTTTGCCTCGCCCAACACCGAGGCCGCGGGCTCCGCCTCGCCCGACCTCTAAAGGCTGGCTCCGCCTCGCCCAACCCTTGGGTTTGGGCTCCGCCTCGCCCGACACCGAGGCCACGGGGTTCGCCTCGCCCGATCTCTAAAGGCTGGCTCTACCTCGCTGACCCTTGGGTTTGGGCTCCGCCTCGCCCCGCCTCTGGGGAGGAACTCCACCTCGCCTGACCCCGATGCCAAGGGCTCCGTCTCACTCGACGGAGACCCATACCGCAGCCGACCACTTTAGGTCCAAGCGTATGGGCCTGGGTCAAAGCTCTGACACCAGGAAGGTGACCGGCAAGCCCTGATATAACCCATGGCCGTGATGGGCCGGACACGAGATTCACATCGAAGAGCGACATCGAGGCGAGCAGTCGCTTTCGCTAACCCTCACCCATTTAACAACAGACAGCGCATCAGTTCGCCACGACGTCCGCCAGGACGGAGTGGAGCGCCACGACAAGGGAGGCGGCGCTGCAAGATGGCGCCCGGTGTGAAAACAGGCCGCGACGTGAAGCTATCCCTGTTGACGTCTATAGGGTCGGTGGGACCCGCATAGAAGAGAAGGACCCGACGATCCTGGCGGACTTCTTCTCCTTCTGATTCTCTTTTTTTCCCTTCGATGTAACCCGTGCTTTCCCTTAGCCTATAAAAGGGAAAGCAAGGCGTTCCATTAGGGGGATCGAATGAACGATCACAACACATCGCATTGAACCATTGGACTCGAATCCGATCGATCCACTACACCCCGAACACGCAGCCAAGCAGCGATCGAGCTCTCGGCACCCACTCGTTCCTTCCATCAGAGACTTGGGACATGTCCCTCTCTCGACCGTTTGTAACCCCTACTATGAACTTTCAGTGCTAGTAACATGAGCAGCAGCAATGAACTGGATGTTGGGACATTTTGCCCGAACCAGTGTAAATCTCATGTCCTCTTAGCACACCATCCGAGCCAGACGTGCAATATTAAAAATTTACTTGTTGGCGGCAACTCGAAACACCGACAGTTAGCATGCTAGGTAGGGGCCTTTTGCACGTCTCGACGTACACACCAGGCCTCAGATGGCTAGTCACAACGTCAATTGGGTCCCGGACGTGCACGTGCGCTTTGGGGACCTAGACTTCATTGTCACGACGGGGGGAGAGCTGGAGCTGGCTCCCACAGCCGTCCAACCACTCCCTTCACCGGCCTCGACATGATTGCCAAGGCGCTTGAGGAGCTACAGTTGCATTCACTGGAGGCCCATGCCCCCTAGAGCGGCCAGCTCCTCGGCTTTGACTACGGGAGGTTGGAGCACCAGCTTGGCGCATTTCTGGGACCCCAACCATCCCGGGAGGACCTGCACCACCTTATCTTCTCTTTCGCCAACGTCATGGCGCAGCTTGTCAGGGGAGAACCTCTCTCCCCAAAATTCCTCATCCAAAGAGCCCCGACAGTGCTCTCGTTTGGTCTACGCAACGCTGCAAAGACCGTTGGCCACTTTGTGGCGCAACGCACGCCTCCATCCCCCGCGAATGACGAGCTCATGGGGATGACCAAATATGTCGCTGAGTCTTTCCACAACCTCGTCGCTGGAGAATCGAAGTCACCCTCTGGCTCTAACTCTAGTAGGGGGAGCCATCACCCCTCTCGTGAGTGTTTCATGGCAGGTACCCTCGAGGGACACGTCAAAAGCATCCATGAAGAGGAGGTTACCCCGACAAACAACCTCGACGACGAGGTCGAGGGGGAGACAGGGGCCCCACCCCGCCTGTGGGTGGAGCAGCTGAAGGCCTGGCACCTAGAGCTCGAGGAAGCACGACTCTAGCTTAAGCAAAAACACGCGAAGCTCGATCAGGAGATCGAGCGCCATGGAGATGATGGGCGCACGCGTGCCATGGCCCGCGACGTGAACCAGAGGATCATCACGAACGATGAAGTCCTCCCACACTTCGTTCGGGCGAGCTAGAACATCGCTGCTGCGGTGGCCTTGCTCCATGGGCTTCCAGGGTCCGTGATGCCCGAGGATCATTGGGCCCACCATGAGATTTGCACACTGCTCGAGCATGCGTCGATGCAGCAGACCGAGAGGTCGCTATCTCGGTGACGCAAGCTCGACACCAGCTAGGGCACGCCCTCAGAGTGACCCAACAAGGACGCATCAGTCCACAAGGTGCCACAAGGTTGCAGGCAACACACCGCAGTCCCGGTGCATGAGCATCTTGGCCGCAACCATGACGCATGCGACACCCTCGACGCCCCAGATGTACCTGTGATGAGCCGAGAGAGGGAGCTAGCCGTGGCTATCACCCTCGTCGTGGCGGATGCTACGATAGCGACGAGGACCGAAGCCCAAGCTCTGGCCTCCCGAGGCCTCAGGCCTTTGGCCGACACATCCTCAACGCCGCCTTCCCGCGAAGGTACCAACCACCAACCAACATCCCAAAATACTCTAGGGAAACAAACCCCGGACTATGGCTCGAGGATTATCGGCTTGCTTGCCAAGCCGGTGGAGTGGATAATGACGATTTCATTATCCGCAACCTTCCATTATTCTTGGCCGATTTGGCGCGAACATGGTTGGAACACCTTCCACCCAACAAAATCCAAAGTTGGGCAAACCTGAAAGAGATCTTCGTGGGGAACTTTTAGGGCATGTACAAGCACCCTAGGAACCCATGGGATCTCAAGAGCTGCCGATAGAAGGCCTAGAAAACCCTTCGTGGGTACATCCGGTGCTTCTCTCGGTAGTGCAACGAGCTGCCTAACGTCACCGATGTCGACGTTATAGGAGCTTTCCTGTCTGGGACCACCTGCGAGTCCCTAGTTCACAAGATGGGACGTAAGGGCCCG